CATCGTGATCCAATAAACTAAGGTCGTAGCACCAACTCGATGGAAAAACTTACCAGGAGCGAAAACCGGAGCCAAGATGGGTGAAGTGAGAACTCGTCAAACTCATTATGGCATGAACATGCTCCAGATGACTTCCCCACGCCTGAATAACTCTAATCGGTGCTCGACGTCGGGATCCCTTGGCTCCTTGGATAGCTGACCTGATAGACAAAAACAAACAAAGGTCAGAAAACCGGCCAAATCAAGCAAAACGAGCAAAGCTTGTAAACGTGTAGAGCCTAGCTAAACAAGCACTGTCCGGAAACACAGTCGGCAGTCGAGAGAAGTCAAAATCGCCGATCGACGCCTCGGTGATCCGGAACTTGAAGCCTGTCTTCTCCCACCCGGGCTCTCCTCAATAAATCGCCGGTTCGATCTCAGGGACGCATAGAAAGTCCCAGAACGGCGGGCGTTGTACTTGACGGAAAAGAATGTTCGCAAGTTGGAGTAGCAGAAGCTAACGGCCTCCTCCCGCGCCCACACGGCACACCCAATGTGGGAAGGCCATCTGTAGGTCGGCGAGCACCTCCAAGACAAACCAGGGAATCGGGAAAAACAACCCGTAGTCCCGGAAGTACGTCGCATATGCATAACAATAACCCGGCTCGACGTTCGATGGGATCTCCGTTGGCGCCAGAACCGCCATCTCTACGTTATCGAGAATCTTACATTCCTGGCGAAGGTCATCCAAAACCTTCTGTTCGTTGATTTTCGACGGACCCGTGGCCACCAAGTCCTTTGAGCCGCCTTCGATCTTTACGATTTGCAACATCGGGAAGAAAGAGGAAGAAGTTCTCGAAACGGCAAGAACACGCAAAAATCCAAAGAGATTCTTGTTCGATTTCTAAAAGAAAGACGATGAATGGAAGTTACAGAATAAAAGGAAGAAGAGAGAAGAAGTTACTTTTAATCGATGAACTGATGCGGTTAAAAAAAGAGTGGAGAAGCTGGACTTTATATCGAGGTAATTATTGCCTACCTCGAGGATCGCAGAGAATCTGGCCATGCGCCAATCTCGATCGTTCGATCTCCCAATCGCAACCGTCGAATATTCGACCTCGACGATTCGACGCGGTGCAGAGCTCGGATGATCAAGGCCGTCAGATCGGCTTTCTCTCTCTCCATCTGGACCTTCCACATCACCAAACTTCAGCGCAAATCTTCTCGAGGGATGCACTTTACCCCGGGAAGCTCGACCGCCGAAACAGAAAAATTAAATGATAATATTTACTCTGAATCCGAACCGTCCATCTAGACGAAATAATAACAAATCTATTTCCACACGCCAAGCTGTAGTTTCGAGGTCGATTCTCGACCACACAATCGGCAAACTGTTCATCTTTCCAAAATATGAACCGTTGATCCCGAATGATTATCTGACTCTATGACGTCAGCGTAATCGGACACAATATCTTTCAAAAGTCACATCTTGCCGCCCATTAAAGCTCGAGCTCACTCTCGTTAATGGGCTGGGGGCAATTGTTGGAGCTGGATTTAGCACCCTAAATTCAGCCCACTCAAGCCCAAAGGACAGGTCCAAACTAAGTCAAATTGACTGGGCTTCGACCCTATGGCCCAGGCCCTTTCAGCTCTCAACGATCCGGCCTTGAACAACAAGACGTTCCATTCGACGAGGTCGAGCTCCAGCTCGATCAAATCCCGATAAACAAAGAAGGATCCGAGCCAAGTCAGAGCATATTCTCGCCAGTTCAAACAAGTTCGAAGATCGCGGAGGAAGCTGCCGCACGTGGCGAGATTTCTGGCTGAAGTCGCTGCACGTGCCCGAGATACGCGCTGGAGCTCGAAGCTCGACAAGGCGAGATATGTAAAGGAGACGAACGGCTCAGTTTGAGGGACCTTGGGCTTGATCTTCTTTTACATTTTTTACACCCGAAAACTCTGTAACTGCTCCCAGAGCTCTTTTCAGTTCGTCTTCTTCTTTGTAACCGTTTCATTCAACCGATTAATATCAAATCCTTATTTTAGTTAGTGCTTGCTTATACAGTCAATCTATTCGAGGGAATCTAGTCCTTAATTCCCCTAAAATTTCTTCTCTTACAAAAACACATAAATTTCTGAGTGTGGATTTCTGTATCCACAGCTATATACTTTTTTTAGTAAACTGAATATTTTTACGATATAAACTCGAACAAGGTGATCGGCCTGCACTGTATGCAGGCTATACAACATTTGATATATTTAATTATGATTAGTATAATATTAAAAATACTTCATTTGTATATGATTAATTATATATTAATAATAAAATTATAAACATTTAACAATAAAAATGATAAATTAAATATAAAATGTTATAGATTTCAAAAGAAAATGAGGATAAAAAAAAATATTAACTAAGATTTTAACATATTTCCTTAGATAAAAAGAATGTAAATATGATAACTAAATAAATAGAATAAAATTAAAATCTATAATAATTTATTTAATATTTTTTTGGCACGCACGCATGTGCAGGTATAATTTTTTTTTAGACATAATTAGTTGTAATAGTTAAATATTAATTAATTTTCTTATACATTATGCAAACGTTATGTTTTATACATATTCAGTTTTAGTGTTCAACAAAAATTACACAAACGTTTCCTATCGTTTTGTATCTTTTGAAATTTTGTTTTTCCTAGCGTTTATAGTAACATATAATTGCAAATGTAAAAGTTATATTAAATAATAATTAAATTTTTATAATATGTTTTGAATATTATCTATAATATACTTTCTTTTTCTCGTTACACAATATAATTTTGCCAACATATATATATATATAAAGTATTTTTTTCTTTGACCTATTGCTAGCTAAACCAAAATGAATAGTATCTTATTCACTTATCCTAAGAGCGGGTAGATGGTTGGTCCGCACATTCGTGCGTACCAACCACCTCACCGCTCTTAGGACATATAATTTTTTAAAAAAAGTAAATTGTCTAACAACTAAAACTAAAATTAGAGTATAAGCGAGGTTAAGAAAATGTATGCATGATAAATTTGCATGCGAGTTTGACTTTTGCGCAATTAATATTTATATCTACATGCATATTTGTAAGAAAATCGAAGTATGACATTTATGTGTTAAAAGAAAATAACAAAGTATATGTTTTGTAAAATATATTTTATAACATATGGCTGACTTATTTTATAAAAAAATAATAATTATATTTATGCATGTAGGTATGAGTTAGAAATAAGCGAATTGTAATATTTAGGCGTTGGTAAGTTTTTCTGATATTTTTTTTGCAAATGTTATTTGTTTACACGATTCAATTATTGGCGTTTAACAACAATCACGAAAACCGTTTCTATTATTTTATATTTAATCAAATTTTCTTACTTTTCAGCGTTTTATGATATATGGTTTCTTAATAAAAATATAATAAATATTTTTTAGAAAATTTGTGAAATCATATTTACAAATTCTCCGGTAGCTCTCCGCTCATCTCTTCGTCAAGTTTTTTATAATCTGCAATCGCTCCTTCCACAAACTATCTGTAACTGAATCGTTTAAGCCAATCATATCTAAACTTATATGTGTAAGATTTAAGGTGTAAAATCATATATTTAATATTTAATTATTATATTAAAAATTAAAATTTGATCTGTTTCTAACTTTAATATATTTGTTACTATAAAATATAATAGATCACAACATATACAAAATTTGATTCATGAAATAATTTATGAATATGTTGCAAAAATATATGCATGAAAGAATGCATGTGTGTAAGATAATATTTTTAAATATTTTAAATAAAAGCATAAAATTGATCAAAATATTCTTATTTATTTTTTTTCTTATGTGACTCATATATTTTTTTCTTAACCTTTAATAATATATTTAACATTAAGATCATCTCAAATATATTTTCTACTTTTTCATCTAAAATATAAGTAGACTTCTCTCCAATCTATATTTATTTTACAGAAAAAAAGATTATTATGTTTTCCTCTATAATTGAAGGAAAAAGCAACAACCTTTCTTTTTCCTCTAAATTAGAATATTTAAAATAAAAGTGGGTTGGAGATGCTTTAAATCAAAAATATAACATGAGATTTTTACATAAAACCAAAGTTGTAAAGATTCATTTTTACTTTTACTTCTACTTTTATTAATATATACAGTATTATAATAATAAAAACTTGGCTAAGAGGATACTTATAATTTATTTTTCTTTCTGTTTATTTTTTGTTTCATTTATAATTTTGAATTCTTGCTATATAATTAAAATTCATTCACATATGATATAAACTTTTTTTAATTTAAAAATAAGATTTATTTAGTTTTAACTTAATCAATCAAAATATTTCATTTATTTTAAGAAATTTGTCATGTCACATTTATGAAATAACATTGTTTTGCACTAACTTTTCTTTAGGTGTCGACACATAAGATTATTTTAGTAAACATGATTCTCAAATAATAGTTAGGATTTGGAAATTTAGATTTAAAAAAATGTAAATCAATTAAAAATTTAAATTATATTAATTTATTAATTTCATTAAAAATAAATAAAATATTTTTATATAAAGAACAAAAAATAATCAAACATCATAACTTTCAACCACAACTCAACTTATTTTTCAATTAATAATATGATAATATGTGCAGAAATATTCTCTAGTATATATGAATAGAAAATAACATCTCCAACAGTTTGACACGTCACCGCCTATAAAATTGACACGTGTCCATGTTAAAAAAAAAATCAGTTCTTTTCATCTTCCCGACTTTCCCAATGCCCTCATTAAACTCATTAGTCATTACCATTTTTTCTCAATATTTAATGTATGCAACGTAACGATGAATCTCTACGTTTTTTGTCTTTTTAATTTTTTAACTGAAAAATTTCATCGATTCCTTTCTGGAAATAGTTGTTCATGCAGAATAATCCTCTCTCGCTATGAGGAAGAACAATCAACAAAGTTCAAGTTTTAAATCTTTCTGCTTGATGGCGTGTTATACTCGTATTTACAAACTCCCCCAGTCAAATCAGGTTCATCTCTCATTGAATTTTTCGGATTTCCGTACCTAGATTGCCGATTTCAATTTCTATATGTTTCTCCCTATAGTTTTAAACTTTTAGTCATTCATGTATTTGTCTCGCAGATATTCTCGATCGGTACAACTCAGTGACTGCTCCTCCTGCTACATCTCGAGCTGATTAAGATGAACTCATGGATGCTGGAAGGAGACACAGGTATATACTTTCCCCAAATCTGTCAATGCTTGTATAGTTATAATCGGAGTTTGTTCTGCAATTTACATAATTTGTTTATTCCTTAGCTTTCACTAATGCTTAAATCTTAATCAAAAAATCTTGCTGGTCAGAATCTATAAAAAAATGCCCAAGATGGAGGGATCCCGTGGATGCTGGGAGAAATGGCAGATCTTGCTATATTTCCTTCTTTAGGTGACTGCACAAGCATCAAGGATTGTTCTTTCAAGCAAGGTCATATCATTAGAGCTCTTTCAAGTTATACGTGTATATATATATATATATATATATATATATATGGAATGAATTAATGGGAGTAATGTGTAAAACTGTTTGTTGTTTAATTATGTTTACTATCGTTGCATGATGTTTTTGTTGCAGACACAACACATGCATCAACAGCTCTGATCTTCGAAGCAAAAAACCAAATGTTGCTTTAAACCAATAAAACTTCGTCAATGAAGATAATGTATATATGATCTCATGTACACCATAAATAATGCATGTGATAGAATCATGCTACTGCCTAATGTTGACATTAATCTAGCTTCTGATTATAGTCTTTTGGTGACAAATAGCACGGTACTTTATTGCTAATAGAAATCACCAGTGACAAAGAAAAAGACCAGGAATTAATGTTTATAGGATTCATGTATTGAGTCATGAGTACTCATAATTTTTTTCCCAATTTCTAATATCCAAGGTCTTTATTTCATTTGTTGCAGGTACAAGATGGATGCTTCTTACTGCTTTGCCTTGGGAAAATGAAATGTCATGCCAAACACGTTACCACAAGTAATTTTATTATCCTTAGCTTTGTACGCCAGTCATTGTTGTCACTTCTTAAGCAATAGAAGTTGCTATGAAGAATGAAAGCTTACTACATAAATTTTGGCCATGGATTATCGCTGATGTGCAGATTGCTGAGATTAATCTCGATATCAATCCCACAGACTGAAGTCTTGAAGGTTGTCGTTGGTACTTATAAACTGTGCCAAGAACACAGTGTTTCACAAATTTAACACACTAGCTTATGTCTTGAGTTATCAAGCTCGACTTGGCAGTAAAGTATCTCGGGCTGAGGGAAAAGTGGAAAAACTTGCATCTCCGCTTGTGATGATGGGACTGAAAAGAGAATGAATTGTTTGACATGAAGAGGATAACGAAACCTGTAGATATAGTGGCTGGTTTTTCAAACGAGACCGAATTATAATTGATTCTGCTTCAAACATAATTTTTGGTTTATACGGAAGTGGAACTGGAGAATGTCTATTCTGGTGATGATAATTTCTGTAGTAGGGAAGATTCAGATGTCGACTCTAAGGATGGTGATGAGAACACAAATCGAGATGGTTTACTAAAGCAAGGGCCGAATATCTGGGTGGTTTTAGCTGGATTGTGTGGCTTAATGTGTTTCAGCTTCAACTAATGAGAATCTTAAGCTATCTAACTCAGATTAAGTTTGCGCTGTGGTTAGCCTTCTCGATGCATTAGTTACAACAGAAAATGCCAAGTACTTCAGCAGAGAAATTATCACGTGGATTGCATTCTTGCTCGGAATGATACAGCCCATATAAAGCTTTCTCAGCATGGATGGAGAAGCAGAGTAACCTGATGCTCTTTATTGATTATATTTGCTAAGAGATGTCCCTTATTTTATTTTATTTTTGTCATCTGGAATTTTCATTAAAACAGTGAAATAATACAAAAACAGAATTAAAATTCTAAATGCATAAATAACACATCATGATATATTCCAAAACCAAAGAAACGCTCCAATCTAACAAACAATTGATCTTCTAGAGAACTTTACAAAGAAACTTTAGTGAAAAATAGTCGGCCAACCAATATAACTGAGACCTTCAAAACACACAAACTACTTTTCAACTCAAAATTCAAGGTTTATCTTTACCCTTATATAAATGTGAATTGGTTTTAAGCTCATAAAAATTAAATTCTACCTATACTATTATAAAACCTGCGCGTATACACGGATATTCTTCTAGTTTATTTGAATTAGTGTAATAATATATAGAGAACTAGGTAATAATCTGACGCTATGTATGGTGAAATAATTATTATTTATTTAAATTTAATATAATATTAAAATTATATAATATAATATAATTAAATTTATATGAGTTTTATATAATATTATACTATACAATTGATAATAGATTTTTGTTATTTTATAAAATATAAGGTAATTTAATTGTTATCTAAATTCATTTAAATTAACTTAAAAATTAAGTATCATGCATAGCACATGATATAACTGAATATAAATACAAAGTCGCCATATAGATTTTATATTTTTTATGATTGATGATATGATTCAGTATTTCCATCAATGTTCAAGATTTGGTTATACAATATTTGTATATATATTTACTTTTGACTCCTGAATAATAATTAAATATTATTAGTTAAATAGTTTGTTACTTATTTACTATTTCAAATGAATTAAATAAAAATACATTGTTTATGTTTTTAATTTGGAAAACAATTATTATAACCATAAATTAATGTAAATAACTATTTTTGTAAAAGAAAATAACAGTTCTTGACTTCAAAAAAAATTTAATCAAAATATACTTTATAAAATATTATAGTATTTTACTAATAAATCTACATATAAAAGCATAGATTGGTCTTCATGACCGTTTGAATATTATCAATGAGCATTGATCAGAAGTTTATCTATTTACAAAATACAGTATATATTAGTAATCATTTCGATGCATGTAAATAATTGTAGGACAATGCTTTTCACATTTATCTGAATAATTGTACTTTTAAAATTTGAGGATCAAACAGAACTCAAGAACATTTAAAAATTAGAAATTTGTGTAAATTCACCTAGTAAAAATAACATGTATTATATGATAAAAGAAAAAATACATGACAAATATATAAATCATATTTGTTATTTAAAACTTAGAAATCATTTGGATCCCATTTAATTTTCTGTAAAACACACATCACAATATTAATGTCAGTAAGCCACCAATACTCATCTAGCCAAAATGTATATACGTAAGAAACTTAATTTTATTTTGTATGTGAATAATTGAATAGATGATAAATTTTATGTTGGAAGTATAGTGTATATATAATAAAAAATATTAAATTAAGATAGTAATAAATACGATTAGAGTTTTGATGTATTTTTGCTATTATTGATTATATAAGAAACAATATGATATATAAAATTTATTATAATTAGCTTATATAAAACTATTGATGTAAGTTAAAATACTAGTTTGCGCATTTTATATATTATTTTTATTCTAAGTAAATTTTAAAAATTGATGACTTATTACACAAAAGTGTTACTACCATTTATACTTGAAATCTTTAAATATGTATATATCTCAATTAACTAAACAAATTTTAATTCATAGATTAGTAATCAGTAATTTTACTTGTATCATTAACATATATCCAACACAATTTTACTTGTATTATTAACATATATTCAACACAACAGATTACATTTTAATTAAAATTATTGATAAATTCCTAATTAGCTCATAATTATATTATATTAAATATTAAATACTATTTATTATATCATAAATGTAAGAAAAAAGTATAAATTAATGAATTATTTTTAATAACTAAATTTATCTAAATTTATTACTGATTAAATTAGCTGTATAGTTACCATATATCAAATTTAATAGATGTATTTTAGCAACAACAAAAAAAGAATTGATAGGTGGATTTTGAATAAATTATTATTTAATTCTTAAAGCGATATGATAAAAAATAAGATTTTCTTTATTAATAAAACTGTAAAAATTAAAATTGATTATAAGATTTTATCATTGATTTTAATATTGTTTTATAAAATGTAATTGTATAGTTAGGTTAATCCATAAAGAGCAGTCATAAAATGTCAATTTATTTTAAAAGAGAAAATTATTACAAAATTTAATTTTTATATACTAAATATACATAAAATTATATAAAAATAGATTGAATTTGTTTTAGTTTAGTATTGTTTTTAAATTATCTAAAATTATATATAACTGAATCAATATTTATTAATTATTAACTTTGTTATCCAGTAGAAATATTTTAAATATTTGATTAAATTACTATATAATATCTTAATAAAAATATTTTAAACTTTTTAAACAAAATATTTTTTTGTATAAATTAGAACTTTATAATATTTCACTTTCTTAACAAAACTAAAATATTCATAATATTATAATCTTACAATATATATAACTTTTTCTTATATTTTGACTTTTTGATATAATATTTTAAACTTATTTTTATCAAATTTAAGTATTTATATTATTTTTATTATATTTTTCTATTAAAAACCATAATAAACCAAAAATACATTAATATGAATGTCAATTAAATCAAGCTTCCTACTTTTACAATGTTTTTTTAGCATTTATGTTTTTTTTTAAATGATTTATCAACCTTCTATTGATCTGGGGGGGGGAGGGGGTTATTGGAGATGGAGTTATAAAGTTTTGATTAATTTTAAAAGTTGAGAGATTTGTTAAAAAGATTTGTTAAATGTGGAAAGAGTTTGTTTATTTAGAAAATGAGCTATTTACCTACAATAACCTTACTAAATAGGGTATTTACTAGAATAACATCCTTCTACAACTGACTAACTAAAATAACTTTACAAAGTTGTGCAAAGACATTAAAATCTAAATTTTTGATTTAAAAATAAAAATGCCATTTTTGTTATAAAATAATAAAAAATGCTATTTTTGTAATAAAATAAAGAAAACACACAAAAAAAAATATTATTTAAAATTTCAAATAAAAAATAATAATTTTTATTTATTATGGAAATATATATATATATATATATATATCAAATCTATTTTTTCTCATTAATTTCTTTTACTTCTCTCTCTCTCTCTCTCTCTCTCTCTCTCTCTCTCTCTCTCTCTCTCTCTCTCTCTCTCTCTCTCTCTCTTTCTTTTCTCTTCTTCTCTCCGGCCAGATCTGGTTTTTCCGACCAGATCTGGTTTTTCTGATCATCTTTTTTATTTCTCTCTTCATTCTCTTCCTCTTTCTCCTTTTTCATTCTCTCTTCCGTCAAATCTGTTTTTTTACTCATTTTTTTTCTTTCTCTTCTCTTTCTATACTTTTTTTTCTTTTCTCCGGTCAGATCTGCGGCGGTTGATCCATGGCCGATAGAGCTTGTCTCCGGATCGACTTTTTCTCTTATCTTTGGTTGCTTTTTCTCCGGCGGAATTCCCTATGGAGGCTTCAAAAAGTATGTGAATCTCTTCCCCGAGAGAGTGGTTTCAGATGGGTGAATGGTCCTCGCATTCTCTGGTGGTCGATCTTCTCAGAGATGGATGTAGCGGCGGTTTGCAACAGTTTTTGTTTCTAGGGTCTTTGTTATCCCGTTTTAATAGGTTATGGATCATTAAAATTTCGGTTTCCCTTGATGGTAGATTTGATGTATAAATTTTATTAGTAGTTAAGTGTTATGATAGATTTAATTATGGTATGAGATATGTTTCATTATGGTGGTAGATTTTTAATATATGTAACTTATTTGGTATAATAGATTTGATAATGATGGTAGATTTGTTTGATACACCGATTTGGCTTCTATATATCATAGAGCCCAATGTAACTTTCAGTAATCGACATATACAAAGTGGAAAGACATTAGTAAATATAAATCTACCAGCACGACATGCATAAATCTTCCACTAAATCATGTATAAATATACCACGAACATACATAAATCTATCAACAAATCTACCAAATCAGAACATATCCTTACATTGAGTCCAAATTGTTATGTCAAAACATATGAGACATGGTTTGGCAGTATAATGGATTTAACACCACCTACAAACGTGAACATAGAAGGTTTGCTGCCAAATGTTTTCAGCGTAGAAGATTTTCCAAGATTTGAGTTCTAATATCGTGTACTTTCTACTGTGTAATATGAATCGATACTTCAATCTCGATGTACTTCGTTCAGTGAACATCTCTAAGTACTTTCTATATGTACTTTCTTTAACTTGTGTGTCCAGTAAGATCATCAAATTTTCCAATGCGGTGAGCGAGTGTTTAACAGTCGAAATACAGGTTTCTCGAACCAAGATGGGAATGCAGAGTGCTACTGCAGATCTGTTGCCTAATATATTCAAAGTAGAAGAATTTCCAAGCTGCAGGTTCAAACACCCATTAATGTGTTGCCACGAGTGCTACCTTTTTCTTCAGTACCAACTGCTTAGATTTCAGTTTTAATAGCGTCTATTTCTACTGTGTAATATGGATCGCTGCATCTATCTCTATGCACTTCGTTCGTTCAACATCTCTAAGTACTTTCTTTAATAAATGCTTCTCTATGTACTTTCTATAAATTTTCAAATGTAATGAACGAGTCTTCAACAGTCGCTATAGAGGTTGAATCTCTTCACTGCAATATTCGCATTCTTATCACGTCCAAAATCAACATCCCACTGATCAACATTTGATTTCAACG